TAAAGATTTTGTGAAATTTCAAAATTTTTTGATGCATAATAGTATTTTTAATCCTAAAATTAATACTACTTTGCATGACAGATAGGCAACATACAAAAAATAATAATTAGACATGAGAAAAACATTGCTTTATAAACCTTAAGACTTAATATAAAAATTTGATATTTTGCATATGAAAGCATTGTAATGTTTACTGATAATCTGCCAAATTTCATTAACATCTGTTCACTAATTTAAAAGTTATAGCATAAAAACTATAACAAGCACAAAATGGTTACGGGGTCAGTTCCAGGGACCAAGCCCATGATGAAAGAGTTAAGGCAGTAGAACATATTCATTCTACATACAACCATAATGTTAAGAAAACAGGCAAGTTAAAAAAAATAATTTAACACAAGCATACAAAATCTGAGCACTTTTTAAATGTAAACCTTTATTTATCAGAGGCAAACTGGGAATGACCAAAAGCTAAATGTGAGAAAAGGAAGAGTGACATCATAGTATGCTATGACATCACTCCACCTTTTCTCATACTTAGCTTTACTTGGCAACCAACCTTTTTATTTTGGTATAATTAACATGTTAATAAAATGCAAAATAACCAAACATTACATTTGTTATATTAATTTTCACTCTAATTTTATATTTTGGACTAATATTTATTACTACACCAAACTAACAGTAGTTACAGGCAGGTATCATGACAACTAACCATTCAGAAAGAAACTGAATTTGCCAGTTTTGAAAAATCTGATGTTCACCTCTATGTATCATAATAATTACTCATTTAGAAAAACGAAACAAGACTTGCCTATTTCAGTTTGTGTGTATCACGATAACTATCCATTTAGAAAAAAAAAACAGCTATATTTGTCGATACTTCAGTGTATTGTAATAACTAACCAACCATTTAGAATAAAAAAAAATTGCCAGTGTATATCCCGAAAGAAAAACAACATCACTGTATAATGCAACACACCTATAAGGAATACTTAATGTCATTTTCTTAACTTTAATTGGGTCACCAGTACATTTTATCTCACTGTCTCAATGTGTTAATCTCAGAATCTTTTTTTTTCTTATTTATGTTACAGAAAAAATACTGTTAATCTAATTGATGGTCATCTATCATTAAGAGGCCGAGTGAAAAAAGATATTTTGTAATCTGTTTCATAGGGCACGACATTTTGGCATTTAATTTTAATTTAGCATTAAATAAAAGCAAAATTCTTGAAGTTATATTCTATTTTTTGGTGTATGTTATGGGGAGTGGGTGAGTAGGTTTTAGAAAGGACAAGTAGATTTTTATAGCATTTATATCAAGAACTCCACATATCTGTATACAGATAAGCAATAAAGAGTTGTTAACATGAAAAGACTAAGTACTCCACTACCTTGATCTAAAACCAATCAAAGCTAATTTAACATAAAGCTCCAAATTCAAATTAAATGTTTCTTGTAGCTTACAAATATAGAAAAATGTCAACAAGTGGTCCATAATGTCTTGAGATACAGGATTAACATAAATAACATACCTAAACAAATTCTTTATAAATATCAAATCAACCATATCAATCAGTGCACCATTTAAACACTTCAAAAATGATACCAGATAAATGTATTATAAATAACTTACAATGAAACCATAGTACTTTTCATTACTTTCCAAAGAATCGTGCAGCCAGAGAAACTCTTCATGCTGACGTACAACTGAAAATTCTGACTTTTGGAATTCTGCTAAAGTTGTCTGTATGAAAAAAAAAAATTCATTTAATTCTAAATTTTACAATAGGTGCCTTCATTATAAAATAAATGTTTCATTAGATTTGCAGACAGAACTAAAATGTACTATTTGCAACAAACAGACATTTTAATCACCAACTTTACAGATGCTCTACATGTCATGTCAAATGAATTTGGCACACTGAAGTGTACAGGTACAAATAACACAAAACAAGTATAAGAGTATTTAAATTTATTCTGACTATTGATTTGCTAATACAGAGTAAATATTTCATGTGAGATGTTTTGCAATACTAGAACAACTTTATGGGAAAAACACAGAACCTAATTACACATAATTAAATGCAAATAAGAAGGCAAAGTTAAGAAACTGCACAGCATTATATTGGGTAAAAAGTCAGCATCCCAACAATTGCAATAAAATTATACTACAATATATAAGAAGGCAGTTGTGTTTTAATTCAATCTTTAAATTCTTCAAGCTTAGTGAAGATTTTATTTTCAGTTGCTTCACACTATTTTAGTATAGATTCCATGTCTTTGTGCTTCCAATACATAGAATTTAGAACTGTTGTTTTCTCACAGTGACATTACTTTAAGAGGTCTCCCACGTGAGCTTTCTGTTTTATTCATTGCCACCATACTGGATGTCAACCATTCCTTTCTAACAATCAAAAGCAATTCATATCAATGCAAGATTTGCATATTTTTAGATCTGTGCCCAGCTGTCAAAAAAAAAAAACAAGAGTCAAAGACTATCTAGTCTCTCAATACATCTTCCTTTATTGTACATCACTGAGATAATTTACAGCATCACATAACATGACAGACGACAAATTTGCTATTTTTCACCCAGAACTAATTTTAGTAACTGACTTTCAATTCAGTAGAGTAAACTATAATCATGTGATTTGTGAAATCAATGAAATACCTCTATAAAATTATCATAAAATTCCTTTCTATAGTAAAAACAGATTCTTAATAAGCTTTAAACTATCCTAACAGCCTTTACATTCTGAAATTCCTTGTTTTAAAATGAAAAAAACATGTAAAATAAGAAAAATCTACTTCGGTTATATATGTAACATTCATGCTCTCTGCAATTCCTTGTTCTAAAGTTACAAAATAAGAAAAATCTACTTCAGTTGTATCAGCAGTTAAGCATATTTGTTACATTTACAGAATTTGTTGTCTGTTTAGAAAAAGTTTTTAAGCAAAGGATTCACCCTCCTGTATACAAGAGCTAGTTAACCCTTTCCAAATGGGTCACGGGTGAAACGCCGTGTCATCACATTTGTTGACTCCCATTCAAAATATTATTGAACTACTATTTTATGAATTTATTTATTTATTTGTTATCAAACTGTAGATTATAATTCAAATTTTAGAACTATACCTTACTTAATTTCTTAATTTAAAAGTAAATATTAAAAAACAAAGTTAAACTTCGATTTTTTTATGTCGCATGGTATGTTGAATGCAGCACTGGTTCAAATTAGATGAAGTCAAAATACTACGTCTACAGTTTTGTACGAATTAGGAACTCAAATTACTGATATTGACAAGCTATAATGTGAAATAAGAGCCTCTTATCTTTTCAATTTGCT